CGACAAAATTACTACTTGCACAGGAGCACAGTGACTGTCCCCTCAGAAAACTGTAGCAAGAACATACTTCCCCAAAAATCTTACATCAAGAATTAAATCAGTCTTAATGGTCGAATCTACTACATCGCTAGTTGGAAACACACAGGCATAACATTTCCCCAGACTGGCTACGAACGAAGTAAGAACTCAGTCAACAAAGAAGGGTCCTGTGAGCCTACTACACCCACACCCAGTGGGTGCTGCCAGCACCCCCATCCTTCCCCCCACCCCGGGGTCCCGGCTGTGCCTCCCTCGCGGAGTGATTCTTGGGCGCCTCTTCTACAACCTAGGTCCGTGCATTCCAGGCAGCCCAGGAGCCCACACTGATCCCAAACCCAAGTTGATATTTCTAGGAAGTCAAATTCACTTTAATTCCCTCTTCTTCTTCAACTCCTGGAGGTCCCACCTACTTCCTATTCTCTGTCCGCCCTAAAATCCCTTCTCTCCAAAAACCGGTTTCCTCCGTAAGACCAGACCTAACTGCCGCCTCATCGGGAGCCTGACCCACAGCAGACCCTTCCGAGGCCCCAGGCACCCCCGAGGATGCTCTGCTACCTGCACGCTCCGGTCCCCACTCAGCCAGCCCAGCCCTAAAACACCTGCTGGAGAGCGAAAGAACCAGCAGGACGGCTGGTTGAACTTGCAGGTTGCCAGGCCTCAGGAGGCCTACGTGGGGCTCCGGAACACGCGTCCAAAACAAGCACAGCAAGCGATGTAACGCAGCCTGGCCCTGGCCCAGACTGGCGGCCCGAAGCCCCGCCCAACCAGGGCCTTGGAGACAAACCCCCGATCATCCGTGCCTAAACTTGATCATCCGTGCCTAAACTTTCGGGGACAACCTTCGCTTCCCTCGCCCTCCCTCGGAGGAAGACATGAATAATCTGAATGCTCACCGCACTAAGCAGACCACAGACGCCTGCGTCACACTGCAGCTTAGTTGACATCTGCTCTCGGGGTTGAATCATACCTGCCGACTGACCTCGCAGCTATGACAGTCTTTTGAGAAGAAGGGCAGCTTCCTATGGAAGGAACTGACGTTTGTTCACAGGCAAACTGCAGCCTGACTCACTTTCTAAAGGACTGCACCCATTTCGGCTGACCTTTTAAAAGACTTTTTTTTTTTAAATGTTTTGAGGCCCGACTGGTGTGGCTGGGTGGGGTGGACGTTGTCCTGCAGACCAAAGTCCCCAGTCGAGTCCCGGCCAGGGCTGCAGCCGGGGGTGCGGGCCAGGTCCCAGGCTGGGTGCGCGCGAGAGGCTGGCGGCCGACGTTTCTCTCACACACGGGTGTCTCTCCCGCTCTCTCCCCCCTTCTCCCCTCGCCAAAAATAAATAAATAGAATCTTTTTTTTTTAAAAATGCTTTGAATGTTTCCAATCATAGATTTGTTGCAATTACTTTGTAATTTCAAATTTACCATTGTCCGACATTATCCATCTATACACAAATGGCTTCTAAGGAAAGAAGGAGTCGCAGGATAGGCTACTTAGAACTGCCTGGATGTCTAAAAAGTATGAATTTTAAATTCTGCACAAATCAAAATTCTATTCTCTGTATTAAAAATCCACATGAACATGTCAACTATTCTCAACGGTAAGCGACTCATTTCCCTCCCAGATGCGTCCGCGTCTGAGGACGAAGGCAAGAGCGATCTGGTAACAGACGAAGGTAATCTGAATCACGCAGGGCAATGGAAAGATCCCTGGACGGGGCCTGCCGAGTTCCAAGGCCAGTTCTGCCACGGCTGGGCTGCGTGGCCCGACTTCGGGGCCAAGGGCAAGTATTTCCCCGTCTCTAGCGCCGATGGAGGGTATACATCAACCGATGACTTCACAGAGCCATGGGAAGTGCATCAATGCATGTACATGAAATGACTTATAAGTTGCTGCTACTTCAAAAGACTACATTCCAAATTCCTCCCAACGGTTCCATTTTTGAAGTGCTGGTAGGTGTTCTCCACTGGAAAGTTCCTTCCGTTTACTCAGGTGATTCACTGAGGGTCCTCTCTGCACAAGGTTTTATACTAGGTCCCAAGGAGGAGCAGAGAAGAAATCAAGGTTAAGGTGCCTCTAGCATGTTCCACATGTTTGCAGCCTCGTTGGGGTTGTTACAGTGATTTCATCGACAGCGCTGTGGGCTGACTGCTGTCCCCCTCGGTCCTCTGGTCCACCGAGCAGTAAGCACACTTACTCCATTCCCGGAGGCAGAGCGCGCAAACCACACGGGCGGTGAGTGTCTCGTCCCTGTGCCAGTAGACTGACAGCTCAGGGAACGGAAAGATGTGGGGAAAAAAGGCTCAACAGAAAGTGAGTGCCTGTTAAGGACGCTGGTTATGTCATATATGCTCTCTTTCAACCCTCAAAATAATCCTGTGAAATAGTAACGTTCTCATTTTATGGACGGAAAATCATCTGAGAGAGATAAGCAACACATGGTCAAGACACAAAGCAAGTGACAAGGTCGGGAACAGAACCTAAGCCTGCTCTCACTGGAAAAGCCTGCTGTCTCCCAGCTCCATCATGGGTATGATCGGCAGGTGAAGAGGGGAGAGAGGAAGACGGCATTCAGAATAAGCCCAAGCTTGAAGCTAAGAGAAATCCCAAGTCTGGTAGGAGGGGGGCGGGGGAGCATCGGGCAGTTTGCGGAAATAAAGTTAAGGCACAGACTGTGAAGAGACTGAAAGTGCAGGTGGCTAAGAAACGGGCACTTAATCCTATAGGTTTAAAGAATGGAACTGGAGACTGTAAGGAGGGAAGCAGAGGATGAAACCAGAGCAATGAGGAGGGAGAACTTCACAGCAGGACTGAGGTGGACTGGAGAAAATGCACGGCATGATGGGGAACCACTTATTTAAAATCCCAAGCACTTCAATATTTAAATAAACCTAGTAGTAATGCTTCTGTAATAAAATAGTATCAAACTATCCCTTGTATGCTTCTTAAAACACATCTTGAGACACATTTTTTAAAACAGCTATTGTGTCCTCCTAATTCTGATGCGGGCTGGAAACTACTCCCCCCACCCCACATAAATCTGAAAAAGAATTCTCCTTAGCTCAGGCCACATTTAAAAACCCTGGACACGCCGCCTCAGAGCAGGAAGGGCCAAACGGAAGGAGTAACCAGGGAGATGGCAACTCCCAAACTCCTTGGTCAAGAAAAACAAAGTTGCAAACAAGTGGTATCTTCGTATTTCCACAAGCACTCAAAACTGTTTGTCAAGGAAAAAAGGGCTGACAGATTAGAGGATGACTTTCACATGACCCTAGATTTACTTTCCTCCCAAATTTATAGTTTCCACTTCTCACACAAATCAATACGAAAGCATCAGCCTCATCGCTGAAGGGCCACATTTCCTTTTCTTTTATGGATGCAGAGCTTTTAGTGTTTTTTGTTGTTTTTTTTGGGGGGGGTCCGGACTGGAGAATTTAGTGCTTCTTTGGCAGCTCAAGTTCTCCTCCCATTCAGCCTTCCCCACAGGAAACTTCAGTTGCATTCCGTAACCTAACTCCGAGCTGCAACAAGCCAAGGCTCGGTATCGCCTGAACACATCTGAGACCGGGAGGAGGATCGTATTAAACCCTTTAGTAACTATCAGATAGACGGCAATAACCTAATTAGCCGGCAGAGCACAGGTGGCAGGGGCCCAGCCAGTACCCTGGTCAAAGGCACTGATGGACTCACTCACCAAGAAGGTGACTGGTCACCTTGAGAAGGGGAACTGGGAGAGGACAAGGCAACTTGGCCAGGAAAACCTGGAGGGAAGTGTGCAGCTGGGGCTTTCGAGGAGAACTACAGTAAACAGAAGTGGCAAAAGCAGCGGGCTCCGCGGAAGGTCATCATCATCTTTTCCACACAATGTCTGATGTCAAAACGACCTCACTCCCAATTCTGCAACCCGAACTTGAAAGTGAAAGCCTTTGAGAAAGTGAGGCGAGCGTGAGGTTCTGGGGAGCACTGGAAGGGCCCAAACCGCATTCCGAGACTGTCTTCACAGCCCTGCAAAGGGAGGAGACAGGGTACCTGTGTCCAAGTACCAAGGTATTTTAACTTCTGCAGGGAGGAATGAACTCCTCAAAGGTTGCATCTGCTTCGGCTGCCAATGGCATGCATTCTCAGACCTCAGCCACCGGATCCTCAGCCTAGAGCTAAGGCATTAAACACAGTGAGGACAAAGGTGTTCACAGATGAGAGTGTAGGGGCCAGAAAGTAATGCTAAGGGAAATACATGTTTTTATTGGTCCAGGATGAGCCGATAACCTTACAAATACCTAATTTACAACCCTATCAACCAGAGTCTATTTCTCAAAGCCTCATGAACTTGGCCTTACGGAAAAGCCAATCTGCAGTGCCAAAATTCTCGACATTTGCCTCCGGCTATCAACCTGGACTTCAGAACCTGCTTTTACGCTGTAGCTCTGTAATATTTAAAGCCAAGTAAATTTTTCAGCACCGTAAGAGTATTGACTTTAGTTTACTACTTTCTCCTACTCTTTTTCTTTTTTCTGCATCCTAAAGACGAGTCAGGCAAGCTTCGATGCCCAAATGCCTGTCGATTTGTGTGCGGGCTCCAACGTGGTGCTACGGGCCCATTAAATAAGAAACTTTCGCTGCTGAGCGACAAGGACAAATTTAGCCGCCACCTCTCAAAAAACAAAATATAATAAAGTGGAGAGGAACGTGAAGGGCTGCGTCTTCGGCCTGCAGCTTCGCTCTCTCGCCCAGGGGCGCGGAGGCCGAGCGAGACGTAGGAAAACTGGCGAGACTGTCAATCCCGGGCCTGTGGAGACTCGGGCGGGGCCTTGGGGCGGCCGCGCCGGGCGAGGAAGGCAAAGAGTCCGAGGGACTCCCACACCCGCCCGCCGCCCAGGGACTCGGGAACCTTCCCCTGGGCCTTCGGCCCACACCTGCCACCGCGCCCGCCGCCCCTTTCGGTCAACGGCCTCCCGCCTCCGGGACTCACAGATTCAGCCGCTCGTAGGTTGTCGCCGCCATCCTGCACGTCGCCGCCATCCTGCACCACCACCTCTTTCCTCCTCTTTCCGCGTGCCCCGCCCCGCGCCGCCACCTCGGCTACGGCGCCACCGGTCACCCTGGCGCGGCGGCCGCAGCACCCAGCCTGGTCCCACCCCTCTCCACGCCCCTCCAGGCCGGCAGACGAACGGGACGCGGCGGTGGACAAACTTCCTGCGCACGCCTGAGACGCCGTCCGACGCAGTGGGGAGGAGCGCAGTGACGTCGCCGCTGCGGATTGGCGGAGCGCGTTTACAGGGGAAAGGAGGAGCCCTAGGTGCCGTAGGCAGGCGCTGCGGCAGAAATGTGCTGGTTGTGTTGGGGAGCCTGTAGAAGCAGCGTAAAGGGTAATCTACATTGCGAGAGAGGGCTCGGGTAGTACGGGGCCAGTGGCGCAATGGATAACGCGTCTGACTACGGATCAGAAGATTCTAGGTTCGACTCCTGGCTGGCTCGTTACGTACGCTCTTTTGCCCTACTTGGGGTAGATGTTCCACAGCTTTCTTAGGAAGTACTGTTAAGGAAAGTAACGAAAGTGTGAAGGTTAAACTTCTTCAATTTTAACGCTACTTTGCGCAAAATGTCATCTTTTAAGCTGTTTTTGGGACGCGGAGTTGTGCGAGGTCATTTGCACATCGCAAAGCGCCCTAGTAAGGATCCACTTGAGGAGTCTCTGTGAATGGGGTACATTGAGGAAAACACACCTGGAACGGGAGCAGTTTTGGAGTGGGGATGGGGAGGGGAGCGTATGTGGCCGGAGGTCAGCTACCGGAAGTCCCAAAGGCGCACCGAAGGCAGCTGCCCGGGCCTTTTCCCTGCGGATGAGAAGCCCCCGCGCTGGCGGGCAGAGCGGCGCCGCGCCAGGTCACCGGGATGGGGTGGGCTCCGGCTCTAACCGCATTGGAGAAGGAGCCGCTGCAGTGCGGCTGCGCGCGTCTGAGCGGGCCCCGCAGTGCGGGGCTGTCTGCAGCCCTGTCTTCTGAGAGCGCAGGGCCCTAAAGCAACATGGCCCCCAATGCCTTCGGGAAACCTTAAGACGTGGGTATTTTTTGCAGTAATAAGACCTCAGGTAATCTCGTATATCCCTCTCATGTAATAGGTGTCTGGCTCAAAGACCTGGGGAGGCCCGAAAAGTCTGCGGCTGAGAGGGGGCTTGAATCTGGGGAGTGGCTGAGACCTCGAACACTGTCCATTAACCACTCAATCGATCGGTTCATCTGTCCAGTATAACGTGTTTTTCTCCTTAGGAAATTACAGAAAATTTGTAAACTATAGAAAATTACTCGGAATAAAAATAATGCCAGTTCTCCTCTCGAGATCATTGTTATTAGTGTAATAATTTCTTCCCTCGAGGCTGCCCCCCCGCCCCCGCACTTGTAATATGGGTCTATCCACACATGTATTTTTTCCGAATTTGTGCTTCCTTTTTGTCTCCTTGGGGGTTTTTTGCCTGAAATTTAAGGTCATTAAATATTCTTCGAAGATACCTCATTAGAGAACTAGATACTTTAAGATTACTCTTGTTGGGAATTTGGGTTATCAGTTTAACACTTTTTAAAAATAATTCTGTATTAAATTATTTCATACATGTCTAATACATTTCTAGATGTAGAATGATCAGGTGGATACTTTTAAGGTCCATTTTATGGACATTTTTACCCCTTGGTACATACTTTCAAGTTGCCTTCCAAAAAAATTAAGCCAATACACACTTCCACCAATTAACATGTTTCCTTGCACGCTAACCAGCACTGTGCATTATAATTTTCATTATGATTTCTTTGCAATTTTCATAATTGAAGAACAGAACTTCCTTTTACTTGATGTGTGTGTGTGTGTGTGTGTGTGTGTGTATCATTTGATGTAGCTCTTGATATATGCATTCAGTGTTTTCTTGCAGATCTGTTGGACTTTTTAATATATAAAGGATTTGAATTCTTTGGCTATCATATCCATTGCAATCTGTATATTGTACTGCTTCCTTATATTTTTGCACTTACAGTAATTTTCACTTTCATGTATTCCAGTGTACCACTATTTTCCTTTACAGTGTCTTCTGTGCATATGTGCTCTTCTCATATTGTTTAGTGTTTGTGTTATTTTTTTCCACTTACTGTTAGTTCATTTGTAACTTATTTTGTTGGCCAGCCCAATGCAGAAATCATTGAAGTCTTAAAGCCTGTCACTCTTATTGAGCAATTAAGAGCTCTAAGCTTTTTACTTGGGCTTATTCCATCCTAACACAGTCCCCTGAGGGAAGTTCTGTTGTCCCCATTTTCAAATATCAGGGAACTAAATTTGCATGAAGTCATTGAGCAATTAGGTAGTGGAGCCTGAGTTAAACCTTGAATCTGTGCTCCTGCCCCCAAGGCTCTTCTGCCCATGGGCTTACTGTTCGCCGGAGGGTGACCACATGAGTGGACCCGGGGCCATTCCCTGTCTGGGCACGAAGGGTGACCACATGTGCACTTCCCCTCGTCCCCCTTGCCAGTTAGCAACTGGAAGACCTCATTTCTAGTCCTGATGAGGCTCCCACTCACCAGCTCTGGGCTCTGGGCCGTTTCCTCTGCTTTAATAAAATGGGCAGCCGATCTGGTGAGGCTTTAAGTAAAGAATGCTTCCAGCTGAACAGCCTCTGCTGGGCAGAGGGCACCTGCGTGGGCTTCACTGAACATGTCACCACAGAGAAGTTCTGTCACCACAAAACTAAGAGACACAAAGGTTCATCTTCCTTTGCCAACTGTGTAATGCAACCCATGGGCTTTGTGAACATTCAGTGAGACTGAAAAGTGGAAACTAATTCACACAGGAACAGGAATTCCTCCTGGGCATTTTTAGGTGCCAAACAAGCCGAAATTGGATTGTTAGGAAAGCAGCATTCAGGATAAGAAACCAGTGGAGGATTGGTGAGAGAAATTGACATCATTAGCCAAGTTTTTCCTATAGTGAAATTATGTTGCCCACGTAAATACAGTTCTTTAATGAGATCTGCCGTCAGGCTTTCCATGACAACAGTCCAAGCTGCCAGTGAAGTGTGGTGGCATCATCCAGGTGGTCTCTGCAGCCCACTTCCGTGTCCATCTGCTATGGGAGAGTGTGGCTCCCAAACGTGGCTCCCACGTATCTACATGTATCTACTTTTGACCCATTCAGTCTGTCGCCGGGTCTGACCTCCTGCCAAGCCTCTGAATTGGGTGGGTCCCCTCCCCTCCCCTCCCCTCCGTCACAGGCCTGCTGTGGGCTGGGTCCCTCGGGGAATACAGGGTCCACCTACTGATCAGTTGGTGGGAGGACCTTATGCAGCTTTGCACACCTAGGGGCATCCACGTAACCAGGGCTTTCCCTGGAAGTGTGGCACACCTAAAGCTGTCACACACCTGGGACCTTCTTTTGAATCAGAAATCTGGCTGCTTTTTTTCACTTTTTATTCACTTCTGTTTTCGATCCAAGGAAAATGCAAACCCTACTTTTAGCAAGGCTTGAGGAAAATGCACCTAATATCCCTGGGATAGTCTTTCATTTCCACCAAAAAAAAAAAATTTGTGGGACACTTTAGCTAAATAATGCCGCCTCCCCCCTGCAAGATGTCTACGTTCTAATCCCTAGAATCTGTCAATATCTTCGCTGACAAGGTAAAGAGACTTGATGGGTGTGACTAAGTTAAGGGTCCTGAGATGAGGGCATCTCCTAGACCATCTGGGTGTGCTCGGTGTGATCCCACGAGTCCTGGGAAGAAAGCAGGAGGGTTAGAGGTGTGAGGACGGAAGATGTCAGGGTGACAGAGCCACGGCCAGTTCACGTGGGCAGCCTCCGGGAGCAGAAAAGGGCAAGAATGGATTCTCTCCGGGAGCCGCCAGAGGGAATGCGGCTGTGCTGACCTTGACCCTCTGCAGCCACTCTCTCTAGAACTGCAGGGCGAATTTGAGTTGCTGTAAGCACTAAATGTGTTTATTTGTCACAGAAGCAATAGGAAACCAATGGAGACTCCCACAGAGATGGGGATAAGCCCCTCATCGCACTCCCAGTTCCAGCTAAGTAGCCTTCCTGAACAAATGCCCGGAAGGACAAGGTACGCCCCCAGCAGGTGGAGTGATCAAACAGCTGCCCTGGCGTGACATTGCCTGGGACGAAACCTCAGCTCGGTCCACTGGGTGCTCACTGCTTGTGAGTTCATTCACCTTCCTGTGTCTCAGCTGTCCATAAAATGAGGGATCGTAAAGAACACGGTCCTTGGAATGACACCTGCTACACGGTGAGCACACAGTCAGTGCCAGCTGTGACTGTTGGTACTGCTTGAACCGTGGGACTTAAAACCAAACCAGGTTCCCCCACTGCTTCAGATCCAAGTTGCCCAGAGACCTGAGCCAGCTACTCTTTGGTCATGACTACGCCACCTCCTCCCAACTCCAAGTTCAGGGATGTCATGCTGATAGCCTACAATTGGCCGTCCTGGGAGGAGGGAGCATTCACATCATAGAAACCAGCAAACGTCTCAAATCGAGGCTTAATCCCCACCCACGCTCACCTCACCCCAGAGCAGGCTTGCCAGCACACCTCGGCCCAGACTATCCTTTCCCCGACTCTATTTTCATCCCTCGCAACATCAGGGTCACAGGACAACAGCAGACCAGGCTCCTAAAGTCAGAGTAACTGCTCTCTAATTGTTCAAGGAGTTGGTTGAGTTCCTAGTAAGATGCTACTACAATCAGCGCCCTCGTCTCAGATTTCCCGCGTCCTTGGCACAGCAGACGGGGCAGCCACGAGCACCAAACGGAAGCCCAGTCCCTGGAGCAGTGGCAGAGAAGTACCTGGGCCCCCTCCCCCTCCCCAAGGACTCTAACCCCACCCGCAGGCAGCCCCTTCTCTCTGCCAGTCCCGCCCCCGAGTGTGCCTGCCTCCAGTCTAGAGGGGAACTCGCCTCTGGGACGCTTCGATCACAGACTCACTGCAAAAATAAATAAATGAAACAAACCCATACACAAAAGGGAAGGAGCCAAAACCACCACCACAGCAGCACGACCTTAAAGGTCTCAAGAATAAGGATCCAGTTGAAGAAACTGCCGATTCTTAGCAGATTATTCCTATGCATCTTGTGAACTAGGCGCCGACGGCCTGAGTTCCATACTATCTTTTTGAGGATGTAGGTGCAGTGAATCACCTTGGATGGTTGAGATAGTGTCTCTGGGTGGAGCAAAAGCCAGGCTTTATAAAAGACTGAGGACCCCGGGGCTGGGGTTTCCTCTTGTAGTTACAGGAATTAGGGCTGGGGGAACTGGTGCGAACGCTGACACAGTGAAAGGCTCCTCCCGTTGCTATGAGCACCCCGCTGTCCTTGGCCTCTGACCTAGGAGGACCCACAAAACCATAGCACGCGACCTTACTGGCTTGTAAGCCTAGTCACGCGCCACTTACCAACGAGGATACATTCTGACAAAATGCATATTTCATCGCTGAGTGAACACCAGAGCGCAGCTGCACGAACCCAGGTGGTCTAGCCTACCCTGGGCTACATGGGGCAGCCTATCGATTCCAGGCTACAGGCCGGTGCAGCATGTTACTGCACAAAACAACACGAGATTAAATGCACTCAAGAGACACAGTAAACACGAGATGCGTGAGGCTGCTGCCGTGTAACACAGCACACTGTTTGACAGCAAACTCTTTTAAAAGTAGAAAAGAATAAACTCTAGAAAGGCAATAAAAAGCAGTGTAGAGAAACCACATAAACCTGTGAGAGTCGTTTGCCATCACGACCAAGTACAAGGCGCTGTACACAATTGTCCGTGCTACAGTGTCATACAGCGGGGGGGCAGATCTATTTACCCAGCGGCTCCACGAACACAGCTGATACATTGCACTGTGACGTCAAGGGCTGCGTCACTAGGCGATAGAATCTTCAGCTCCGTTACCATCTTATGGGACCATGTCTGCATAAGCGATCCTCTCCTGATTGAAACACGGTTATGAGGCGCATGACTAGACAGTACAGTCTCAGTCCCGTCCCACTTCTGACACCCCTGTGTTCCTTTAAGAATCCAGAGCTCAAAAGGGGACCCAATCCAGTGAACAAAAAGCATCGTCCTCCTCCTCTGCGCGCACACAAAAGAAGGCCCAGCAGACACCATCCTGTTGGGAGAGCACTTTAATAGTCTACAAGTTGATGCAGTTTTATTGCCATGGTCTTTTGAATCATTTTACAGTAACACCTCAAATAATTTTTAGTAACAATATTTTGTACAAATTTTAAAATAACAGTGAGTTTTTGAATCATTCTGCAGTAAAAGGAGAGACAGAAAAATAATTTTGCCCCACAGCTGAAATTGTCATACACGCTGGAAATCTCCCACACCGGTCCGGTTCTGGCTCAGAACGGTAAGATAGCTAATAGATTTTATTCATTTTCTTCTATTGCTTTTAAAGGTTAGTTCACGTGGTAACTGGGAAATCAGGGCTGCTTGTGGCACCAAGGAGAGTAGGGAGAATTTGGTTTCCTGGCAGACAGGGTTTCACTAACAGGTGCACCAAGCAACAGCGGCTTGGGGTCACGTCCCCCACACGCGCTGCGAGAGTGCCGGCGGCCCTCACGGCGCTCACACTTCCACACACACGGGAAAGGCACACGAAGACAGCCTGCAACGGACTGTGAGTGGCAGAGAATTCTTCCAGGCCCTCACACTCCTGTTTCCCTCCCGCAAGCGGGACTCAAGCCCACGGGAACAAGGCAGTGGAAGCCCTTGAAGGTGATCAGAATCCTGTGATGACCCCTCCAGCCACCCAGGGCGCAACGGCGTCAGCTCAGGACTCAGCGGAAAGAGGTCTTCACCCCGGCACTCCCCACGGAGCAGTGGAAGTCCCTCGCCAGCGACAGGCAATGCCGGGGACAGGACTGCGTTGAGCCCTCCCCTCCCAGGTGAGAAATGAACAGATCACTCCTCACTCGGTGACTGACTCAGGTGGGGAAACATCAGACAGACAGAGACACAGAATCCCGATACAGCCGGCCAAACGGGGTCACGGGCCTTCCTCAGACCACCCAGGCAGCGTCTGAATGGCCCTGCCTGGGTAGGGGTCAGAGCTGGTGGCAGGTGACGAGAAAAAACTAAACGGCAAAAATGAGGCGAGGGAGAAGGCTGGAGGCTGGCTTTGGGGCCTGCCTTATCGGGCCATAATCCTCCTCATATATCCCATAATCCTCCCATAATCCTCCTCTCCTCGTCTAGCTGTGAAGTGCACCCGTTGTCCAGGGAACCCAGGAAGGGCTGTTCGCTCTTTTACAACGAACTCATTCATTCATCTGGGTCTACCAGGGGCCTGTTTTCTTTCTGGGTGCCTAGAGGTACGACCCCGGTGCAGTTCTATTTGGCTAGTAACTCACAGAATGTTTCCGATAACCAGGTAGGGGAACACCTCTGCAAGGCTTCCATGCAAGGGCCTGAGCAGGGGAGAACCAAAACGAGAGTCCTGCCCCGGACCCCGTCCGGGGACACCAATCTCGAGAGAAGCTGCTCTTCGGATTCCGCCCCGTCATTCTCTCACTGCTCTTCAATGGCTCAAAATGCCATACTTGCAGCCAGACCGGAATCACCCCAATCAAGGCTATTTTGAAATTTCTCATTTAAAAAATTCATCACACACTTAACTAGTTACCCAATTTGCAAACACATGCCTCCTGCCCCTGACAGCGGCTGCAAGGCAACTTCCTTCACCCCGTGGGGCTTGAAAGTGGAGCAAAGACGAGCCTGCAAGGCCGGGAACATTCCCCGGGCCGGCAGAGGCAGGTGGAGACGCGTCGGCCGGCTTCCTGCCCATGGCCCTGCCCAGGCTGGGCCAGATGACTAGGTGGGAAGAGAGGGGTATAATATGACCCCAGGGGTCGCTGCCCCAGCCCTGTGCACTCACAGCTCCTCGGGAGGCTCAGCCCGTGAAAAGGAAGCGATGAAAGTGCGCAGCCTGGACAGAAGTGACGTGTGGCCAAAGGATCCAGCGGGATGAATCTAATAAAAACGTCAAACCAGCCTGTGCTGCGCTTCTTACAGGCAACTGTGTCGGAGTGGGTCACAACGCGGCCCAGACGGGAAGCGGGGCCCTGTGGGAAGTCTGGGGGTCCCAGGAGGGCTCCACTCACCACCCTCTGCGGCTTGAGTCCCCCAGTGCCCTTGCATGGGGTACCAGGTGAGGAGGCAGAGAGCAGATGCCAGCTGCGGGGCCCCAGCCTGGCTGGCAGTGGTGAGAGGGCCCCAGGGCTCCTGTGACAAGGCTGAGGGGCAAATGGCAGCCAAGCTCTTTAAAATATTTATGCATGCACCTTCTTATTGAAACACTGAGGGACCCTGAGCCCCGTCTGGCCTCAGGACTGCCATGCAGGGCCAGTTCTGCCTCCTCCGTGCAGAGGTGGCCTTGACATCTTGCCTGTGTGTGGCCCTCGGGGCCCTTGTCACCCTGGGGAGCCAGCCAGACGCAGTGCACAGCACCCAATGTCAACCTGCTCTAGTCCCCATGGCCCTTTGGCTAGGGTCCCAGTGCTCTGACCCGCCGGAGGCAGGCCATGCGCAGCCAGACCTTCTGGCCATGCCGCAGAAGCCAGCTGAGCCCACCATGATGGGCGAACTCTGCCCCTACCTGCGATCTGGTGACGCTCGTGTCTGTGAGGTATCTTTTTGGGTGTGGAAGGCTGACAGTGGAGGGAAACAATAAAGAAGAAAGAAGGAAAGGACAGACAAAAGCACTGTACCTTATACTGGTTTCTTCAAACACACGCTGTGCCAAGGATTGGGCAAGAGACACTTGGGAAATGACTGTAATAACTTATGCTCAGGTGCGCCCCCCCGCTGCTCTAGAGGTCTCGCGCACAAACACCCCTCCTCTGTGCGGGGCTGGCTCTCGGGATGCGGCAGGACTTCCCCCAAAGCCCGGGGGGTTGCCCGCACGTGGGGTCCTGAGACTCGCCTCTGGGGGAGCAACTCCAAAGTCACGGACTCTGGGGAGCGGCAGAGGGGACACGCGCAAACAGGTGGGCAGAGAGGCCTGGCGCCCGCGCCAAGTTCTTCGACCCAAAGCCCCCCGCCGCGGCCTATGGGGGAGGGAAGACCTGCGGGGACCCACAGAGTGTGTCTTAGGCCACCCTGTCTCGCAAACTTCAACACCTGGCTCTGGTTTACCGAGGAAATTCCTTCCAAGAGACTCGGCACGTGTCAGGGCTTCCCGCTCGCCATAAACCAGGCGGCATCTGCAGAACAGCTGACACTCCGTGGTGGAAGGAAGCTTAAGTCACGTGTGTGTGTGTGTGTGTCTGTGTGTGTGCACACCCGCGTGCGCCTGGGGAGGGCGGGTGCGTGGGTTTTCCTGAAGGGGGGGGAAGGGCCGGATGGATCCGCAGCTGAAATCTCTCCTCCGGGGATGTTAGGAAATATGCCCGGGCGACCCTGCCCCCCGCCCCCGGGGTCAGCTGTTCCCAGAGGAGACGGGCAGGCTCATTCGGTTGCACTGCTGTGATCCCGTCACATGCCACCCGCCTGCTGGAGCGTCTTCCTGAACACTCTGACGAGCGTGAGCACGTGCCAGCGAGGAGAGGCCCTTGGAAAACACTCACACACCAGACAGGGAGGGTGGGCCTCGCTGGCGACAGGAAAGGACCCCACACGCGTGCACGCAGGCGCTCGCCGGCCAGGCCCTCCCACCCCTACCCCCACCAACGCCACCCAGGGGACCATCGGAATCAACGGGCGGATCAGCCACCACGCAGCCCTGGCCTCCCGTCCCGCGCTGAGGTCTCTGCACGAGGCTCCGGCTAGAAGCGGTGCGGGTGCGGGGCCGCGGACGAGGGGCCTTTCTCCAGCCTCTTGACGTGGCAGGACTGGCAGAACAGGTGGTCCTCCAGCGGGTAGCAGCGGTGGCCGTCCTCGTCGTTGAGCTCCAGGCCACAGTCCTGGGGGAGGCAACAAGTGTCCAGTGGTAGCCAAAGAAAAGGACTGCCGGACGGACACAAAGGCCACCGCCGTCCCAGAGCACGGTGGTGTGATTCTACAGGGGGCAGAAGATGCGGAACCCAGGGGAGGTCGGGGCTGCCCTGTCCCCTGCCCCCCGGGGCCACCAGCCCCGTGTCACCCTTGAGCGCCTTCAGACGGGGCTGGTCGGAAATGGGACGTGACGTCAGTGTGAACACACACCAGGCTTCCCGGACGTAGGAAAGAGAAGAGTATGAAATAGCTCACGAAAAATGTTTTATGGGGACGGCGTCCTGAAATGATGACGTTCTGGGTCGAAGAAAGTTTTCCCACAAAAACTGACCCCGCCCGTTTCTTTCCCTTTTCTAAAGAGGCGAGTAGGAGACAAAACGGCACCCTGGACTGCAGGGGTGGTTCCCGAGTTTCCACCCCATGGCACCGGTCTGGGCTGTGCGGAGGGGACAGTCAGGCAAGCGTCTTCGCCCCTTCCCCCAGCGCCAGGGGTACCACCGACGACGCCCACCTGCTTCTCCAGGGCTGGTGGTGGGATCCGGCTACCTGTCCCCGCACCCCCTGCTCTCCCGACCCCCCACATCACAAAGCAAATCTCGTCTCCGTCCACCTAATTCCGGCTGACCATCCACAGGCTCTCACAGCGTCTGTGCCCTTCACGAGGGCTGGTGAGGGGTGGCCCCTGGCCGGCCCAACAGGCGCAGCACCCGCAGCTCCTGCAGCCTGGGGGTGACACCAGGACAGAGAGGGGGCAGGTGGCCCCCCCACCTTCGCACGGACCAGCCACATCCCTGTTTCCAGGGGTGGGGGTGGGGTGGGGTGAACGTCTTCGTCACTTCCAGGGCTCAGCTGGGAAAGAGGCTCCCGGCGAGCTGGAGGGGAGGGAGTCCATCCCCCACATCGCACACCTGCCTGGCAATGTGGCCCCCCCCACAGGACCTGAACCCCCACTCCCCACGCCCCTCCCACTCCGCAGCTTCAGGAGGGGCAGCCGCGATGGCCTCGGGCCTTGGCGGTGACCCACGAGGAGAAGACGGGGAAGACCTTCACGCCCCAAACGTCTGCACGCCCTCCGGCCTCCCCTCCCTCTCCCCAACCTCCTCCGTCAGTCCGGACGGCTGCCCCGGCCCGCACCTCCATGACCGGCCCCTGCCACAGTCAGCCGGGCCGCTTTCCTGCTGGGCCGCCGAGCGGGTTCTGCGGGCCGGGGCAGGGAGGGGCCTACCTCGCAGTGGTAGCACTCCACATGGTAGTCTCGGTCCATGGACACGACGCGGATGGTCTCGTCCGAGCCCTGGACCAAGGGGAAGTGAGAACAACAAGACAGTTGGGGGGCCCACCAGGCTCCACCTGCTAAGGGCAGGGGGTGTGTGTGCGTGTGGGAGGGATTCTGAGTGACCGGGGGGCGGCCTTAGCAGAAGAACAGAAGTCGGAGACGGGTGCTGATGCCGGTGCGAAAAGGGCGCATTTATCGGTGGGAAGCAGCGGAGGGACGGGAGCCCTGCCTTCCGGGAAGTCAGGGTCAACAGGGAGGAAACCCCTAGGGCCCTTCCTCACCTGCATCTCCCCTGACCTAGGGTCAGCAAGTTTGCCCTGGTCACAGGGACAAACGGGACACACAAAGGGCACTGGGCTGGGCGAGGCTAATGGGACAGTGGCTTTGTGGTGAGGGTGCTAAGGACAGGACACTAAGGAGAGGACACGGGCCTTCTGAACGACCCCAGGGAGAAACTCGTGGCGTGGGAGACCCCGGCTGCAGAAGCGTCTTACCTCAGGGGGGAGGATGGGAAGCCCGCAGGCTGCACACTTGGGGGCCAGCACCCTGGGGGACGAGCAGAGAGGCAGTGAGATGCGGGCTGTGGTTCTGCAGGGCGAGGCCCAGTGTTTTGGGAAGACTGGCGCCGGGACCTGCCCGGAGCCCCCTCCATGGGCCTGGCCCCAGCGCCTGGCTCGCGCTCTGGGACCCCTTCAGTAACGCTTCGGGGTCGTTCCCCAGTGGTAACAAGCACCCCTGGCCCCCTCACCCAACTCGGGACAGAAACTAACTGGCTCCTTACTCCCTCTCATGGTGCCTGGTCTGGGCCAGGCACAGCAAGGGGGGTGGCGGCCAGCCAGGTCGGTGGTTTCTGAAGTTAGGCAAAGCTGGAGCCACAGGGCCTGGTGGATTGGATCTGGTTGTCTCACCCCCACCCCCAGTAAACAGGCTTCTTTAATCAGCGCCTATCTGCCCGGGCATCTGCTGAGCTGCAGGGGCCCCTACACTCCTCGGCCCGGGAAGCCTTTGCTGGATCGCGGGCTGACTGTGTCTGCCTGGCACTCTGCTGAGTGTCCATCGGCGTGGCTGCCACGGGCGGCGCCCGGCCCTCCTTACTTGTGGTAATCCCGGACACAATAGATCTTGTTCTCGGAGTCCACGGTGAAGGGCACCCCGTCCAAGCACTCGTTACAGATGACACAGCGGAAGCAGCCAGGGTGGTAGGACTTCCCCAGGGCCTGCAGGATCTGGGGACACAGAGGACAAGGCCGGGACTCGGTGGCGTGATAGGAAGGACGGGACAGTGGGAGGGAGAACACTGGGCGGAGGGCCCACGTGATCACGCCACACGCGACCCTCGCCCCGGAGTTTCCCTGGGACCAAGGTCGAGAAGTGACTGCAGGAAAGCTGATCCAGGCACATGTATACACAGGAGGGAGCCAAGCAGGCTCCCCCTCCTGAATTCATAAAAGCTCCGGGAGGAAATGTAAATGGCTCCCTGTCAAAAAGCGTTCCGGTTCTTTGCAGAAAATGATGCACAGCAGGGCCATGAGAGGATTCCTCCAGGATTTGGAAAGCAACAAATATGTGGAAAGGTTAAAGGAGGCTCCCTGTGAGAATGCAGAGCTTGGAGAAAGCCCCTTAACTCCTTCTAAGCGGCTTTGACTCAGCCGCAGGATAATCCAGAAGCTGTGACGCAGCCCCTGATCACCTCACATTCAAGTGCAAGCAAAGCCTCTTCGTTGCTCTTACACACAGCAAAGGGAAAGCCCCACAGTCCTTCTCCCTCGGTGTCATGTGATCTGGACGTGACACCTGGGCCTGCAAGAGGCCACCCTGAAACCAGGACGGAGCTGCCCTGGCTGGTGCAGGTCAGTGGACTGAGAGCGGGCTGCGAACCAAAGCATCACAGGTTCGATTCCCAGTCAGGGCACATGCCTGGGTTGCAGGCCACGGCCCCCAGCAACCGCACATGCATGTCTGTCTGTCTGTCTCTCTCTCTCTCCCCCTCCCTTCCCTCTCTAAAAATAAATAAATGAAATCTTTATAAAAAGAAAGAAAAAGAAACCAGGACGGAGCTGAGGAGGAGGGGTGGGGAGAAGAGCAGGAAAGAACACCCTTGGTGACATCACCCACCATGGAAGTACCCACGTCCAAACCTCTTGTTGGGGGAGAGGAAGCAGCTTTCCTACTACATCAGTGGTTCTCAAGGCCCAACGCCTGGGCCCGCAGCATCAACACCGCCTGGAGGCCGGTTAAGAACGCCCAGTCTCGGGCCTCACCCCAGATCTCCTGCATCCCCGACTCCGGGGTAGAGCCAGCAGTGGGGGTTTTAATAAAGTGATTCTGAGCACGCAGACGCTCAAGAAGCACCGATTTCACACGAGCCTGGGATTTTCTATAACATGCACCTGGAGGCACCTCAGCTGACTCAACAGGGGATTCATTTCTGCAAATACCCGGGGCCAAAACTTAGCACAGACCGCGGAGCTGCGGAATCAGCAGCTGCAGGCTGCACCGGAGCACCATCTGCAAGCGATGCACAGAGCGGCCGTCGGTATTCGGCAGGGTGGGCCACACAGGGCCCTTCGGAAGGAGAATCGCAACTGAGGGAAGCCTGGTCGGTGTGCTGAGGCCTGTGGGACCGACGTGCTGTGTTCTGGCACCTTCCGGGGCCCTAACGCTGCCTCCGGAGGCCACAGCACACCTGGTGCCCCGTGGCCACTGGCCAGTGGGAGGACTTCCTGCCTTCCAGCTTCCTCGTTCCCTCTGGGGCTCCACAAACCTCCGAGGCCCCTCTCAAGACACCAACATAAGAAGAAGCACCAGCTGGGCTTCCAGCGTCCACCTGGCGATTCCTTTCCCGTCTCGGCAGAGAGAGACCGGTGAAGTCATTTAACCCGCACTGCGCTGGACGCACAGGGAGACAAAGGCACCATCTGTCTGCCCTCTGAGCAGCTGTTGCCTCTTACGTCGGATCTTTCTCATTTTCCTTTAATGTGGGAAGATGCCGAGGTCCGAGCTGCACGCCCCAGTGCTCGAGCCTTCTGCGGACAAAGGGGGCCCGGACAGGCAACCGACACGAACAGCTGGGTTACTTGGGGTTCTGCTGGAGGACCCAGAACCGTATCCGAAGGAATCTTCCTCTGCATCGTTACAATTTGGGGTGACAGGGAAGGTTCCTGTTTTTTTTTAAAGATTTTATTTCTTTTTAGAGAGGAAAGGGAGGGAGAAAAGAGAGAGAGAGAAACATCAATGTGCGGTTGCTGGGGGCCGTGGCCTGCAACCCAGGCATGTACCCTGACTGGGAATCAAACCTGCGACACTTGGGTTCTCAGCCCGCGCTCAATCCACTGAGCTACGCCAGCCAGGCTGTTTTTAAAACCAGGCATCACTTGCCGACATTCCCTGAAACTTTCCAAGTCTGAGTCAAGGCCTGCAAGGACGCAGGTTCAAGGTCACACGCTCCCGGGTGGCAGAGATTGTCTCCGAAATGCGACTCCTTTCCTTCCCATATGCACAGCCTTGTCCTCTCTTCGGGATGTGAAGACCATTTCCCTTCCCCTTAAATCGAGACCAGTCTTGCGACACTCTTGGGTCAACAGAATGAGGAAGAAACGATGTTCTGAAATTTCTGAGTCAGGTTATAAGAAGACTGGCAGCTTCCGCTCCCCGCCTCTTCCTGTCAGGAAGTCCAGGCCGGATGATAAGTGAGGTCAGAGGCCACGAGGGGAGGGGCCTAGCGTGAGAGAGGTCATCCTGGACGTCCCACTGGGCCACCAGCTGAACGCAGCGGAGAAGGGACCCCGGCCAGTGCCACACGGCGCAGGAGAAACACCCTACTGAGCCCTGACCTAACTCCTGACCCACGGAGCGACGACTAATAGTATATCGCCATTGTTCTACACCGCTAAGTTTTGGGAGTGGTGTGTCATAGAGCAATGATTGGAACATCCCGAGGTTCAAAGAAAGCTTAGGACACCCAGAAATAAGAATAGGGTATAATCGTGTTCAAAAATGTGGACACTGGGCCCTGGCTGGTGTGGCTCAGTGGACCAAGTGCCGGCCTGTGAACAAAAGGTTGCTGGTTCGAATCCCAGTCCGGGCACAGGCCTGGGTTGTGGGCCAGGTCCCCAGTCGAGGGGTACGAGAGGCAACAGATGGATGTTTCTCTCCTTCTCTTTCTCCCTTCCTTCCCCTCTCTCTTAAATAAATAAATAAAAATAAATAAAAATTTTAAAAAAGAGTGTGGACACTGTTGACCTCCTAGGTGGTGGGTCTGTCAGAAGGACTCGAAAATCAAGGACAAACTCTGCTAACAAAATGGTGCCCTGTGGAATCTGGCAGGCACTTGTGGGGGGGGAGGGCAGAGGTGAGGGTGGGTGGTGGCTCCTGCCTGCCTCCCCCGGGGGAATGGGCGGAGGCTGCCGTGTTCCCAGGGCGGCCCGGCTATTCACGAGGCCAGTGCCACCCATGGCCTGAGCTCCGCCGTGGCGTGTCGGAGCCCGGCTGGCAGCCGGTTCTCTTTAGGAACAGGGACGGCCCCAGTTCGCCGTGTTATACGTGTTGCAACCAAGCCAGCCGAAACCGGTACTGATGTCCCTCAAACACGCGCCTGAGGGTGTTCACAGCAGCTTTGTGCACGAGTGGCCCCAGATCGGAAACCACCTAAACCGGAGTCAGCAAGAGAACGGCAAGATAAACTGCTGTATCCCTGCAACGGGATTCTTCCTGGCGACAAAAATAAACTACCAGCACAGGTAGCACATGAAGGAACCTCAGAAACATTGTCCTATGTGAGAAAAGGCAGGCCCAGCCCTGGCTGGTGTGGATTGAGCACCAGCCTGCGAAGCCAAGAGTCGCTGGTTCAATTCCCAGTCAGGGCACGTGCCTGGGTTGCGACCCAGGTCCACAGTATGGGGAGAGCAAGAGACAAGCACATATTGATGTTTCTCTCCCTCTCTTTCTCCCTCCCTTCCCCTCTCTCTAAAAATAAATAAATAAATGAAATCGAGAAAGAAGGAAGAAAGAAAGAGAAGGCAGCCCCAGAGGAGTCTATATTACACTCTCCCATGTATATGACATTCCAGGGCCAGCGAAACAAATCTGGGGCAAGAGGTGTCGGAGTAGCAGGGGCCTCTGTGGGAGGGGGTCAGGCCTGGGGGGAGGCCAGGGAGGAACTTTCTCAGGTGTGGAACGTGCGGTGTGATCCGCATCCTGACCTGGGAGGTGCTTACACAGGCTTATGCAGAAGTACAAATTCATTAGCTGTACATGGAAGATGTGTTCCCTTTATTCTACGAGTTGCTTCTCAATAATAATGTAAAAGCAAAAAAAAATAGCCACACTTAGCAAATTCCCTTCTCCAGAAGTGAATGCATGTGTCAGCTTAGAAAGGGATTTAACTCTTCCTAACCAAAAAAAAAAAAAAAATGTCACATAGTCATTTTCTCTAACCAGTATATGAAAGAAGTTCTTCTGCAGGACCAATCTCCAGTGGTAAACCATCTGATCCCTGAAACAGAATAAAGAGCCCTGTGCTCCTTAAGCCCACAACCTCACCCTGCAAGGAGGGCGGGAAGGAAAAACTGTCCCCACCGAAGAGACACAGACGTGACGGGCTCAGGGAGCCAGCAGCTGACCCAGGAACAGAAGGTGTAAAACCTGCTCCTTGTTCCGCTGGTTCAAACACTCATCTCAGGAGCAGGCTGAGCGGGGCAGGGCAGAGGGCAGGAACACAGAGCGTTACCTGCGTCTCTGCCCCTGACTCCAAGGGAGCCGAGAACTCTGTGGCAGAAACAGGCTCCGTCTGACATCTTACCTGGGCCGCCGCGGGGGTCACAGGGAATCGGGAGGAGGCCAGTGTGACCTGGACAGCCCGGAGCTGGGACAATGGTCTGAAACACACCACCGTGCGGGCTGGGTGGGGCAGGGTGCTGGTGCCCACACCGGCCAAGGACGTGGGAGCTACGGCAGCGAGCAAGGGGCGTGCCTCGCACCAAACGTGCTTTTAAGAAGACCGCAGCAGCCGCAAGGCAGGCTGGGAAACGACAGTGCTCCACGGTTACTCTCTTCTCCCCGAACGCCTCCCCCTCTCTCCGTGCTCCTGCCCGGCTCGGCAGGCCCCACTCACCATGTCCATGATCAGATGGCCGCAAAGGAAGCACCTGTCGGCGGACTGCTGGAACCCGGAGTACTGTGGGGGAAGGAGGAGAGACGGTCAAATGCAGGTAGGGTGCAGGAATCGGGCCCCTTGCCGTTATCCACGAGGACGACGACGAGGAAGTTCTCAGATGGGTCCCTCTATTCAGGAATTTGTCACTTCCCCCGAGGACAACACGGCTGTGTGATGAATCGGGGATGTTCTTTGCCACAAAAGCCACTGCCCATACTGACACCACGTGCCCCAACAATAGCTACATCTGGGCACCCACGGCATGCCAGGGAAGCTGCAGTCCAATCAGGTCGTTCCGAGCCAGGCACCTTCCTGGCATCCCCTGGGAACCTTGAGAAATGCAAATTCGTGGAATCCAGCCCAGACCTACTGAACTGGAAATTCAGGGGCCCTGGAATCTGTGTTTTCACGGGCCCTTTGGAAGATCCTGATACGTGTTCGAGTTTGAGACCACCATGCTAATCCTCAGAGCAATTCTGCAACCTGTATGGTACACCCCTTCTCAGAAGGGAAGCTCAGAGAGGTGACGGGACCTTCTCAAGGTCCTGTGGGCAGTGAGACGTCAGCAGCGGCCGCACAGGTGCAGACAGAGTGAGCCGTGAGGGGGGCCTGGGTTCCAGTCCGAAGGTTTTTGGGGTGGGGACGGGGGCAGGGTAGACAGAAGTGGGTGAAGCGACAAGAGGACAGGCCGAGCGACCCCCAAGTCCCTTCAGAGCACAAAGCTCTGTGATCTGTCACTCGCCTTGGGAACACGGCCACCCTGTGCGTCTGCAGAAAGTGAGTGAGAGCAGGGCAGCTTCCCCTGACGCTGGAGGCCATGGCGAGAAACCCCCTGATCTCCCTCCACGTCTCCTCGATGCCCCCCCGCCCCCGCCCCCGACTCTGGCCAGGACTTTGAGGAGGGCGGGCGTGGGTGACAAACTCACCAGGAAGTCTTCCTCACAAAACACCTTGCCGTTGACGAAATAAAAGGCTTTTCCTCTCAGCTTCCTGCCTAAGGAAGAAACACAAAGGCAAGGGGAAAAGAAAATGTTACTATGCAGTGAACAAAGACACAACAAAGGCAAGAATCTCTGTAGCAGAAACACACATGAAATACACCGACTGTGGTAAGTCTCTGGTTTGCTGAAAGCTGCTGGGGCCCCGGCAGGATGGGGGCAGGCAGACTGAGGCCAGGAGGGGCCCCCTAGGACAGCTGCCCGGGGGGACAGCCACTGGCTGACTCGGGAACCATGCCACTGAGAGGCCAGCGGGACATCTGGTGGTGGGATGGCCGAGGCACACACGGGCGGGGGGCCCCAGCCAACAGTCCCCTGTGATGTTTCTGTCTCCCACAGGTGTGGGGGCCTGTCACCCCTGACGTGTTCTCCGGGACTGCTGGTGACAGCCTACCAGGAAAGTCCTATACATGGGTCAATTCTTATTTTCATATATCTTTCTCATCTGAACATAGAAAATACACATTGTTGGAAAGATAATGATTTTTCTTGTTTTCTCGTGATCTAAATGGGGTGATCAGGGAGTGGGGAACATGCAAAGCGCCCTGAGCCCTCGGCTGTAACTCTAGTCACCGCAAAGCCAGGACACCGACGAGAGCACTGGACCAGCAGCTCCTTTGATCCCTTACGGAAAAACACAGCAGGACCCACGTTCAGTGTAAGCGGGAGCACCCTGGGGAGGCCCCGGGCCTGCCGCTCAGCGGCGGTATGCCCCCCTCCAAGAGGACTTCCAGGGCCAGGCACAAAGCGTACCCCACAGACGCCACGGGAGTCTCAGAAACTGGAGGGATGCAAAACATGAGTGGAACCAAGCCCCCAGAGCCAGGGTCCACGACAGGAAATCAGAGTCACCGATGCCACCAACATGAACAGTGCCGGGGACACAGAGAGACCCACCAGGTGGGTCTCCCCAGGCAGGCAGAGCACGAGGTGACAGAGGAGAGACTGTGGATGGGACCTGCTGGAGCTCCAGGAGGACGCTGAGAGCACCCACACAGAGGAGAAGCCCCAGAGAAGGAGATGGGTTCAACGACACAAGACGGCTGAAGACCCGTGCGGAGAACGAAAGCCGTTCTAAGGAACCACAGGCAACTGCCTTTGACTTGGGCATGGAAAAGGATTTCTTAGGTCAGACGCAAAAAGCACATCTTGGGAAAGTAAAAAACAGTACGTATGACATCAAAAATCTGAGCTTCTGCTCACCACAGGACAACACAGTTCAAAGGATAAAGCTCCTGAAAACCCGAACCGCTCCTCCACGGGGAGGCGGGAGGGGGAAGGAGAGGGTCAGGGGCCAGTGGGCTGCGGAGTGGGCGGAGAGAGCCAGGGGCCGGAGGAGGTGGGGGGCGGGGCCTGGTCGGGTGGGCGTGGCTGCAGGCTGGGAGGCGGGAGGGAAGTTAGGAAAAGAAGGACGCAGACTCCAGCTGACCCTCCACTTTTCCCCTCTGCACCCCGCTTCTCAGGAAGGGCCCCCCTCTCCTGGCCTGGGCGGGCAGACCCTCCTTTGTGTGGCGCCTGTCGCTGCCAGACCCCCTGTTGCCCCCGTGCTTCCCCAGCGCTCTGATTGGTTCCTGGAGAACCACTGTTCCGAGGGTTTGCTACTTTCTTTGAGGAAACAACGTAATTCCAACTCAGCTATGTGCTAGGAGAGCTTGGCAACGGTCTGGCCAAGGGCAGTAAGTGCAAGCTGAGGAAGTGCAAGGACCAGAAGGTGGCTGCAACCCACGTAACAGGGCACTAGCACCCAAAACACAAAGAACACCGACAGTCCACGAGCCAAAGACAAGGAACCCAGTGGAAAACACACGGGCAAAGGATGGGCAGGGAAGGCGCAAAGAGGAGGGAAACCTTGTTACATTCCAGGCAATAACCGCTTTCAAAGCTCTTCCATCCCACCGGCAATCAGGACGCGCAAATTAAAACACGGTGAGACGCGATCGCATCCCCAGGTGGACAAAACCACGCCGCCTGGCGACACCACGTCTCGGGGACGCTGCGGGCCAGCAGGGGGCCTTTCACGCAGCTGCTGCGGGGGAGCGGGGGGTGGGGGCGGGGTCCACTGGCACGACCCCTTGGGGAGAATGTAGCAAGAACCCATAATCCTGAAAATCCACGGGACCCACGACAGGCCTAGGGCCGCCTCTGGAGAAGGTCTCCTACCGCGCACGGACAGACGCTCACTCGGCGCTGAAACGGGGACCCGGGAGCCCGGGAGCGTCCTCGGGGCTCACCGGGACGGAAAGAGTGACGCATGCGCAGAGCGAGAATTCGGAGCTGGAGTCTAGGGACGAGATCCCACCCAGCAGGCGGAAGGCCCGAACCGGGTCTGTGCAGTCACTGCACTAAACATGCTGATGTGCAGACAAGGAGCACCGCCCAACGGGACAGATACTGCAGATGTAAGTCAAGGCAAGCACACAAGCTAATCCGTGTGTCGTTCAGTAATGCCTGTACGTGCGGTGACAGCAGGAAGACTGGGACTGAAGGACCCAAGCGCCCAATCCACGACGGCAGCTGCCCCGGGGAAGGGGAGATGGGATGGGAAACCAGGTGATTCCAATTTACCTGCAATAGTCCACTTCCTTTATAAAAAAAAAAAATAAGCCCAATGACAGCCTATAAATGTTTGTGCATTGAGGGTGGTATTTAAAGTTATTTCCTGTAGCTTCTTCACTTACACACACACAAACACACAGCTTCTTTAAATTAAATTATATAAAACAAAAGGCAAATGACAAACCACAGAAAGCATGACAAACAGGAACTTAATACCAATATGCAAAGAACCCAATTAACCGTCCAATATTTAAAAAGTAGGCAAAGAGAGATGACAAAGTATGGACAGCCAGAAACTATTTGAAGACTCTTGAATGTGTCTCATGATTTAAAAAAACTTGCAAACGAAAACAACATTCCACGTTGTGTCAGGCTGGCAGGGGTCGGCAGGAGCCGCACGCAGACAAGGAGACTTGATGAATGACGCTGACAGAGTGAACAACGCTGACGGAGACACTCCCAGCAGGAGGGAGGGACAGGAGTGCCTGGGCCAAGGGCGCGAGAGAAACTCTGGTGCGAGGTGCTCACAGAATTTAGAAAGTTCAGGTTACTCTGACCCAAACACCCTGATGCAGGAATGCATCCAAGGGCATAATCAAAGGTCGGTTGTTTCAAGGGTCTTCATCTCAGCATCGTGCAGAAACACCTAAAATGACAGCAGCTGCACGTCTAGCTCCGGTACCATAAACGACAGTATTCATACTATTACGCAGGCATAGAATAGATGGCTTTCCAAAGGAGATTTAATGACCCAGAGACGTACTTAAAATACTTGAAGGGGTGGGGGTGGGGGGTTACAGAAGTGTGTGTGTTGTGTGTGTGTGTGTGTGTGTGTGTGTGTGTGCAGGCATGGGTATACATATTCACACACCTATACGATGGCAGAATTCTGTGCACGCTCACACCCCCCGAGGTACACCAGCTGGTACCAGTCACCACCTCTGAGCATGATCATGAGGGTTTTAATTGTTTTTTTTTCCTGCAATAATCGTATTACTCACAGCCTGACACAAACTGTCACGGCATGAGGAGTGTGACTGTGGCAGTGGGGCATGCTGGAAGGCCAGGAGTCTTGAGCTCTCCAAACCCTCTTATTTCCTGTCCTTCCTTCCAAGTTACTTCTACGCACGTCTAGAAAGTTCCAGAACCTTCACAAGTATTTCCTAACTCTGCTAATCTAGGGTAACAAGATGAGGGCTTATAATTTCCCACCAAGATGAAAAGAAAGGAGGTAAGGCTGCAGCTGCCGGGGAGGCCACTAGAGGGAGCCAGCAGGCCACCTAAAAACCCCACAGGGCTTCCTAGAGAGAGGTGAGCAGGGGCGTCAGGCTTCTGACCTATTGGGACAGAATGCCCAGCTCTGGGTCCAAGAGTAGGTCCCGGAAGTTCTAAAGAATCTGAGCTGGGAATGAATGTCTTCTTTTAACAGAGGGCAGATTACCTCTGTTCCAAAATCATCGGGGGAGATCATTAAACGTGCCAGACCGCTGAAGCCTCTGGTGTTCTAAGAAAGGCAAGTTCACCAAGAGCTTTTACGCTTTGGATATCAACAAGTATCAACAAGGACTTTCTCTAAGTGATGACAGTCGCTCGTGATTGCCATCACCGCACATTTCTGTGAACGGCTGAGAGAGGGTAAAGCCACAAACTCTCTTCCTTGGAAAGGAACCTCTCTCTGGCTCTGTGGGATGTTCTGGGACTTAGCTCAGGGAAGGAATCGGAAATGTGAATAAATATTTACTTAGATCTAAACTGGCAGCCTCAGAGAAATGAGTACATAAAACAGAGGACATCTGAACGTTAAAATATTGTGTAGCCATTGAAATACCATTCAAATAAGTGTTTTAGTGACACTGGAAAATGCTTCTATTATAGAAACACAATCAAAACACATTAGTCAGTGAAAAAGGAAAGCTGGACAACTGTATTTATAGTACCATTCCATTTCAGTAACTTACACACACCACTGAAACACACACACACACACACACAACCCGGGAAGACATAAAACTAGTAGTAGTTACTAGGAGATAGCATTGCAGGGAAATTTTGCTTTCAACTTTACAAAATTTAAAAATCTTACCTCGTATTATGTATCACTGGTAAGTTGCATGAAGGGGAAGTTCCACTTCCTACTTTATACATTTCAGTGTTTCAAGTTTTTTATAGTATTAGGTACATTGGTAGATAATGAGAGAAATTTCACTTTTTGCTTCCTACATTTCTGTATTAAACTTTTCTAGAATTATGTATTTATAATCTAAAAAAGCACTTTTTAAAATTTTTTAAAGGAAACTCCTTATGTCATAATATGAAAAGTAAAAAAGAATCTAAAAATTGTGTATTTCAACTACGGAAAGAAGAAATGCAAAGAAAAAGACCGGACAAGAACTCTGCCTGAGAGTGAGAGTACCTCGGACACACGGCGCCTGCCTCACGG